GCTGCCTGTTTCCCGTATCTGATAGAATAACTTACGATGCTTACCAAAAAGCAGCGGCTGTTTCCATTTCCGATGCACGATGAGACCACCAGACTTCGCGGTCTATCCTCAGGCTAACACACAGACTTGCCCTGAGATTTTTGCGACTCTCATTGTATTCGCTTTCAGCCGGAATACGTCGGCAAGCATAAGTTCAAGAGACTGTGTAGAGACCCAATGTTTAGATTGGCAATTTGATTATCCCACACGAAGACATGACATCGTGGTAATGATCTCTGGTCATCACGTGGAATAATCTTCAACCACCTTGGTCCCCGTATGTATCGAATACTTGACTTATCGGATGATTCTGTGCATGATAGGCATTATGATCAATTTGAATGTAATTCTCCTGCTAATACTGAGGTTGTTGATGAGTCTAACGATTCCTTGTTTGAGTCTATTCCAGAGAGAACTCCAGCGAACGAATAGGTTTCTGAAATTCCACAACAGCAATCACGAAGTTCCGAGAGGCTCAAGAACAAAGAGCGCCGTCATTACAAAAACCCGGAACTTCCTTTGAACTGCGGCGGATGTGGTGATTGTACATGAACAATATTATGCTCCTCTTGTTTTACTGTGCTTTCGAACTTATCGTAATTCCGAATTCATTGAATACGATTTCTGTGTGCTTCCATTGAGCGATATTACTTCATTGTTGTGGCTAACTCTGGGTTTGAACCTAATCCATTCCGATTACGGTTACTACATTGTATATCACAGTGAATCATTCCGTTGAGAGCTGCCCCGTGTGTTTGGCCAAACAACCTGGCCCGAAGCGCCTCCATGTTTTAGATAGGTTTTCCTGTTCGTCTTGTGCAAACTTACCGGTAGGAAGTCTCGTGGTTACCAGCAGCGCAGTTACAGCTGACATGAATATTTACCGGTGTGGTATTCCACAGGCACAGATGTCCCGGTGTATGAAGGCCATTATACTAAAAGCACGTGGAAAGTACAAGAATAGGCAGAAGAGGAAGAGTTCGACGGTCGCAAATCAACGGCAGGCTAGACCAAGTGACGCACGAGGAAATCCTCGTCCTGCAAGGTCAACCCTGGCCGACCAGGCGTTGTAACATCGTGATCTTTCACGCGCCTGAGTTTGGTGATCCAACACCTCAGATACGCTACGATCATGATTTTTACAGAACCTAATTAATAGACTCCTCGAAGTGAGCGAGGACGGATTTAAAGTAGACAAATTACCCGTCTTGGAAAGAAAGGTTATCAACAAAGTCGATCAACGAGAATCACCTATGTGGACGAAGTTAATCCGAGACTGATCTTATCTCGATTAAATATATTGAAAGGTCTAAAGCTCCATGTTCGTCCATACTTAAATCCGGTGGATTGAGAACGATACAAGTCTGCCATCATTGAGCCGAAGAGACGAAATGGTGATGGGGAAATGAACTCTCAGATCGTTTCCAAGATTCCACGAAGCCAGATAAACAGGTTGCTCACACTACAAGCGTGGTTCCTGCAGTGACCTGCATGCAGCCTTTATCAACATTTGTAGTCTTAGGAACAAGCGCGATGAACTCTGCCATTTCGTCGCAACTGAGCGGCCAGACATGAGGGCACTCACAGAGAGGTGGCTGAACTCTGAGGTGATAGCCTAGAAAATAGAACGCAGTGGTTAGTCATGTTCCGCTGCAATAGACTATTGACTACCCGCGGTGGCGTCTTGCCCTACATCCGGTCCTCCTGTGTATGAGAGTTGTGAGCGTCTACAGAAACGATGATGGCCTGTGTGAGCAGATGTCGTGCTCGATCCACCGCAAACGTGAAGAGTCGCTCGTGGGTGCATTTTATCAGTCCCGAGAGCCGTTGTTTGGACTGGTTACCGCATCACCTAAGCCATATAAGTCGTTTCCATTTTCTATTCATGGGTGATTTCAAATGTCCTCGAGTACGCTGGCATGAAGTTGAACTCATGCCCGGACATTGCGAGGTCGAAACAAAGTTCGTAGGCTTAGTACTTGAAAATGGAGAAGCGCAACACCTACCAGACAAGTCGAATAACGTAGTGCTTAGATTTGATATTAACAAGCTGCGAACATGTGTATTACGTTCAGGTCGTAGAGTTCCAAGCAACAAGAGATCACTCAATGCTCGTAGCCAGCATGGATCTATCTTTACCGTATTCGCGTCCGCGGAAACCAGCTTAAAAGTTCTGAAAAACTAAATTCGATGGTCCAATTCAAGCCTCATGCCAAGTAAATTGGTCTCTGCCGCAAGCTACATCTGTAGAAGGCTGGTGGACTGTTAAAAAAGAGGGAGAGCGTCATTACTGTGTTCTCAGTTTGTACCATTGAAGCGTCGAAAAGTTGAACTAGTCAAGCCGCGTCGGTTCGGCAAGGAGTATGATAAAATGGCTCATCTGCGGTGCAAATTCTCCTCTCCAGCTCTTCCAATGATCACGAGGCGTATACGAGGTAGCGAAATATTTGCAATAGTGCAAAAACGAGCAAGCGCCGGTACTTCGAACAGTAGCTCGCAACCGCCGCAAAGACCACTCCGAAAAGAATATCTGCTCACGTGAAGTGGCGCTTCAAGCCAGCAAAGTGATCTGTCAGTGCAAGAGGGGTCGGAAGGACAACCCCTGATCTCAAGCACTAAACTGCGTCCGACTTGGCTGCGCACTTCTCTTCCGTGTTTTTAAATGACCGAGTGTCTGTACCGAGCTTGACAGTCTGGTTTGCGGTGTTGAAGAGGTACATCAACTACTCGTCAACCTTGACGGTACCAAACCTACTGGCTCGGACGGACTCCACCCACTGATTCTCATGTTCCCATCGGCCATCATCTCACTTGCTGTGACTGACTTGTTCAACAGATCATTATCCGTAGGTGAATTGCCGAGCGACTGGAAATGCTCAGTGGTTAAGCCCATTCCGAAAGCCGGAGACCCCAGCAAAGTGAACAGCTATATGCCAGTTTGTCTGATACCTATTGTGGCCAAGGTTGCCGAGAAGGATCTGCTCCAATCATAAGATCTAGTGACGCCCGCACAGCACGGTTTCGTGTTAGACCGCTCATGCATCACCAACCTGCTGGTGACGAGGCATGAATGGTTGCGAGCAGTGAAGCAGGGGAAGTCAGTCGACGTAATCTACATCGATTTCGGTAGAGCGTTCGACAGGTTAAACTATGAGGTTGAGAGCGTGCGGTGTTAGTGGACCACTATACCAGTGGATCCAGGACTTTCTCCTCCGGCGAAAGTGGAGGGTAAGGGACCATGGCCATCTAACTGACTAGTATCCCACTACTAGTGGAGTACCCCAAGGCACGGCGTTTGGACCCACTGTGTTTCTAATCCACATCAACGACATACCTCAGCTTTTTGGTCGCTGCATCCTGTTTGCGGACGATTTGAAAATTGGAAGTGATTAGCACCTCAGACGACTGTAGCCTACTTCAGCAAGACCCCAACCGCATCTCCACGTGGTCTGTAGAAGCATGCCTCCCGGCCAACCTAAGGAAGTCGGTATTTTGAGTCTGGAAAAGGGTGGTAACGACTGAATTTACACCACTAACGGTCGAAAACTACGTCCCACACCTTCCGTGAAAGACGCAGGTGTACTCGAGCGATGTGATTTGAAGTCCGTTGACAACACGAACAGACTGTCGTAACGGATTACGCATGCTGTGGGCGACCCAAGGCAGTTTTGTACTTAATCTGAAGAGGTCGCCACTATCCTCTTCTCTTCCATCCTTTGACAATACTGAAGTTCAGCTCACCTGCATACCGTCCAATCACCCGAAGCGAGGCACAGAAAATCTAACGGGTAGAACACGTTGCTACCAGACTCATTCCATGTTTACGAGAATTATCTTAAGAAGATTGGTGTGAGAAAATAAAACTCTACACCTTGTTCTATCGTCAGGTGCGAGTAGATCACATAATGACCTACCACATATACATTTGGTTGGATACACTTGTCGATATGGCCAGGAGTCGTTCTCAGTAGCGTTCGTGTGGTGAGTTTCTTTGTCCCTCCATCTCCAACCACGATCTCAATTGATATGTATAACACTTCACTTTGCGGCACAATAACCGGCCGTTAGCTCCCCGGAACGCTGTGCATCCGTTACCGGTGATTCAGCCGGCGTTCCTCTGCATTTTTTCTTTTCTAATCTATTACGGCACAATAGCTGTGTTTTCCACTTCTAACTAACGTGTACATATTACATCTCGGTGACTGCCCCATGTTGAGACCACTGTTTCACTTGCGAACGTCATGCAACACACGCGGACACCAGTACAGGCTTGTGATGGTGAATATAAAACGATTACTCCACCTCCTGTGGTCCGAAAGGAGAGTGGCAAATATTTGGAACAGTCTGCCAGAACAAGTCGTGGAGGCAGTAGCTCAAAAATTGTTTGGTTCACATTTTACCACTGTTAGATGTATAGAACAAATGCACACTAACAATGATATCTTGCGTTTGTGAACGCAGTGAAACTGTAAGTCGGACATTCCAAAATGCTACATAAGAAATTGAAGAACGATTAGATTATCACGGATGGCAGGCACTTTTTTAATATTTTTGATTATATTGCGATGAAGTTGTATAGACCAAAATTTCTACTTGCTTCCACAATACAGTAATCGCTTCATTTTTCTGTACCAATGAATGATTGATTCCAAATCGCTTAAAAACGCGTTAAAAACATTAATTTCCAGGAATCAGATCCTGATTTGTTGTATTGCGAGTTGAACATGCACCATTTACTTGAGGGAACGAGGTCACCATACGAATCGCTAGCAGCGAGAGCTGTCCAACTGATTCATTCGAGAAAGCAGAAAACGCCCAAGTCGGTGGCCCAATGAAACAACGTGGTCGTAAATGAATATATTTGCTGTATATTTGTACAAATCAACGATAATAGTTGTCTACAAAAGAAGCAGAGCGACGAAACAGTGCGGCAGGGTGTGTGTGAGAAGGTAATTGTCGTATCACAAAGCTATCTTGTACGCGTGTCCAGCGCTATTGTGAATTCGCACCGGCCACGGTTCACTGAGAGCCCACTCGTACCACACATGGTGCGAAGAGACCACACGCCACAGATGCACAGTGACTCGTTGGCCAGCAGTCACATGCACTGGTCGATCCAGCGGAAATACCATCGGGAACCAAGAGACCATATCTGGACTATGCCTCGCCGGATGGGTGCCTGTGAAGGAGGGGAACAGCTGTTAGACAACGGTTGACAGGATAAGGAGGAAACGGTAAAGTATGCACACTTCCAAGGATACCAAGTGTCGAACTTGCAGCGTGTGTGCAAGAACGATGTGACCGGTCCTCTGTTGTGACCACACGGCGGTGAAGAAGAGCTGGATTGGGTTTATTGTCTCTACGGTGAGTCAGTGTTGAGAATGGAGGCATGTGACAGACTCTAGTAGACCTGTAAAGTTTGGCCTCCAGCTAACACAATTCAAGACAGTTGAGAAACTAACAAGCAATGAATGATACGCTTACTTGGCTGCAAAGTGTAGTGGAACTATGAGCAGTGAGGCCGATACGAGAATGACAGTGATGTGGAGAAGTGAAGGTGAACAATGGCAATGTGAGCGGACATGCGTCCTGCTAATAAAACGACTGGGCACATGCACAAATTATCGTGTTAAGCCAATAATGAAGAATGGCGAATAATACCTCCAAGTGATCTCATGCTGCGATTTGGTTTGAAACACAAACAAGTGGAGCACAGTTGAACGGGAGACACAATGTTGCAAGTATTGGATTAAATTGCCGAACCGTTGTCTAGACGAGGCAACCAGAAAATGGCGCTTAAAAGCAACTAACTGTGCTGTGAAATTTATTCTTGTCGCATTACATGCGCCCATTTCTTCGCCGTAAAACACAGGAGGAAAGAGCGTGGTAGTGACGAGCAGTGCGCAAGTACATGACTTACTGAGTGTTATGTCGTTGAAAAGTGTCGCTTCGAAATATCCAGCAAGCCCGTGAACTACAGAATCTTGCTCAATTTGAAAGTGGTGGGTAACGTAACGAGAATTTGGTTCGTCGAGGTCTGTGGGAAAGCGGTAGAGAATAGAGAAATGGTGCAGCCGTCTAACATGCGACAGGGTCTTTACACAATGAAGAAGTCAAATTGGAAGCTAGGTTGGATGGGTGCAGTCTGGTTCGACGACTAAGACGACTAGCCAATCGAAGTGTGTGGAAGGCAGAAATACCATACTTTGTATAAGCAGAAAGTAAAAAGTGAGTGAGTCAAACAAAAATGAATAATAGGATTGGAAACATCAAGTGAGTAGGTAACATGTAAAAATTACACTGTCCAACAAAAATTTATTTTTATAACAGAAATGACAACGGCTCTATCTTATAGAAAAGACTGCCCTGATCGCAAAGTGTATACCGATGTTACCTAGCACGTCAGGTTAGATTGTTATAAACTAATCATTATTTTCAGTAATGTGGTCTAGATCGTACGAATTATAAGTAAATGTACTGAATCACAACACATACAGTATGCATATATGTAGCAAATACGTTTAAAACCATTGCTACACTCGTCCCTAACTACTGACTGCAGCTTATGACATTGGGAAATGATGACTTCGCCGAGATTGTCGCTTGTATGATCCAATGCCCACAAGCTGCAGAAACCAGGAAGTCACCCATCATAGAAGGCGTGTACATGCCACCGTAACGCTGCTCCATGACTTAAATGTCTTGGTGACAGCGCACACCATGTTCATCGCTAACAGATCTAAAGCTCTCAGGGAGTAAGTCAAGGTGAGTAGGTGAAAAGTGAATCATGAATGACGTTCGAGCACCAACAGCTTGATAGTCCGCAATGAGTTATTTCTGTATATGTCTTTGTAGATCTCTGCCTTTGTTCTCTCCAAAACCCTGTACACACTGCCTCAAATGAAGTCAACCTGGCATACGAAAACACTGTTTGACATTATCCTGTGAATATCAGGCCCAGTAAGTAGCCCAAGTTTGAGCTCCGCTTCACCAATCTTAGGAAACATTGGTTTCAGATATTGAAACGCAAAACCATCTCGCTTGAGGGTTTCGACGAAGTTCTTAACCAAACCAAGCTTGAGGTGCAGGGGTGGTAATAATAATAATAATAATAATAATAATAATAATAATAATGTGTCAGCTGTACGCCGTAACGGCGCTTTGCTGCCGCGCGACCATCACCAATCGCGCGCGGGCTGAGTACACCGAGAGGACGCCCACTCCTACGCGGATTCGAAACGGTGACCTTATGGTTGGAAAGCAAACGTGCAGACCATTCGGCCACTGGCCGAGCAGGGCTGGTAGATGGATATGGTCAGGTTGCACAAGACGTGTACGCTTTACATTCAATTTCCCTGCAGCATACTCCGTCCTCGCTAGCCACTTCTGTTGTGTAATGCTGTTGAGTTGCCCTACTGCCCCTTAAACACAGGAAACAGCAAGATTTTGTGAAGTCTGACATACGCATTAGGAGTTCATTGATTTTGAAGTCAGCACAGATGTTCCAACAGTACCTATCGTGGTTCAGTGCAGCCAGTATCTCTTGCATACTTTCGAAAGCCTTTTTGATATTGGTGACATGCAACAGAGGCACAGCTGGGTACACATTTCCATTGTGAAGCAGTATGGCCTTAAGACTATTTTTGGACGAGTCAAAGAACAAACACCATTCCTCACTGATATGCCTCACGCCAAGCTCCTTCATCAAACTTTCCACGTCGAAACAGTAACAAAACCAGAAAAGTTAACACTGCTTTCTGTATACAGTAATCTTAGAGTTTGTAGTCAGTAAGTGCCACTGCTGCAGCCGAGATGCCAACAACTCGGCTTTGTCTCTAGGCAAACACAGGCCACGTAACGAGTCATTCTGCTCTGATTGTTCAATAAAATGTAGGTTGACATTATTAGCTTCAAAATTTTCACGGACATCAGAATTAGGTGAATTAGACGGTGCAGAATCATTACCCATTATAAGCGACAAGTTCGCTGGAGGCACTCAAATGGGTAAGGTGCAATCATGCGGAACAGGTCGAGTAGCTGAAGGAACATCGGGACGATGAATTCTGTCATTGTTTCGGTTGGAAAATCCAAGGATACTAGTTAGAGAGAACTAGCAGTCTATCGTGTGATCCTTCGGCTCCCTCCACACCATGGGGATTGCAAAGGGTAACTTGCCTTTGCCCTTGAATCAGATGAAGATTACACACGACACAGAAACAATACGCGGCACCCACTTCTTATCCTGATCTCCAAATTTCGTTCCAAAATATGTGTGGTAGGGAGATTGTAGTGGTAAAGAAATGGGTCTGCACTGCGACTTTGTAGTAAACTGTCCACAGACGTAACAAAAATGATTTCGGTCATTGACACAGCAGCGTCTTTGAGCCATGGTCAAAACATAAATAAAAGAAACACAGCTCTTAATCGACTATGCGTATCAGGTGGATACCATGGCCAAGACCACCGCTTTTATACTGTTACAGGGAGCCAATGGACCAATTCCAGGCGAGCATTCGATGCATGAAACGTACTGCTCAGATGAAATGAAAACCAGAAAAGAAACGAAAATCCGACGTAATGGAAACGTTTTGTTTGTACGTTTGTAAGCAGATCACTTGATACTACTAATAACACCCTATTTCATTTCTGTTATGAAAATGATATTGAACAGTGTCATTAACCGAAGATGTTTTGGAAATAGTAGACAAACGCCAGGTAGTTAGAACGTGCAAACAGCTGAGGAGAAAACGCGAAATACCCAAATGGAAAATATTCTGTCGAAATTTTGTTCCTTCTTGCCACAGTAAAAAAAGAAAAGTAACCTGACCAAGCAGACGGCGTTCACCCAGGAAAGAAGAAGGGAGGTGACGTGTGGGTGGTCCTAACTTTTAGAGTGGAAGCTGCGGTTCGCTCACATCCCCACTCGAACTCGGTCTGGTGACCGGAGTCCAAACTTTGGTAAAAATACAATTGGGTCTCAAAGGCAACAGTTGGCACTCAGAGAAAATGTAAACGGAAACTGTCTGCTTGATTTTGTTAACCATCCGGTTAGAACCTTTGCTCATTAAAATGATGATGGGAGTGAGAACGATCTACGGGGACAGAGGTGAGGAAAAAGTTCGTGTTGCGACGGTACAATTCGATCATCAAGGTCAAAATGGAAAGCGCGGATGGATAGACCATGGTTCGAGCACACCTTTATCCGTCAACGCACACGAGAACTTCTGTGCGAAGCTAAAGAGTATCCGTAACTGTAGTGACTAACGTTCACACGTGAGCACACATATTTCGGTTGGTTTAAAGTAACTTTATTGTGAACCGCCATTTTACCACTATGACACAAGATATAAGAATCCGAGATACCCAACGGAATCAGAGTCCCATGAGATACACCACATCGTGTAGAGGAACAGGTGGAGGACAACCAAAGCACATATGACTTTGAAATTAAGGAAAAGGATTAGAATCGGTATGGCAAGAAGCCGATGAAGAGTGAAACTAGGGCAATGCACCAAGCATGACTTCAATCGAATTCACGTCTTTAAGCTACGAGCTATTATACCTGAAGTCTTAAATTCAGTGGTACTCGTATATCCCCGCTCTCGTCCCTGACGATAAACTATACTTGACGAAATACGAATCTGTAATAACCCGAAATGCAGGCGGAATTATTCAGTGTTAACATAGCTTATAACAGGTGAAACTATTCTGACAAGACATCCACTCATCTTCACTATCCTTGCTGGAGATTGTATGGCGCGGGTTTTCTTCTGTGTCCAGGGGTTGCGAGGTGTGCACTGCCTGTGCATCCATTGCTTTCGCGCATGCAACTGCGGTTTTAAAGTGTTTCTTTCCTTTGGCGGAGTCCATACGGCCAGCCGTTTGCTAGTTGCCGTTTCGCATCCCAGCATTCCCACGCTACTGAGAGCTGAGGAAATAGTGTCTGCCTTTAGTCCATCACAAATCAACAATTACCATCCTTATCTCTTTTGGTCAGATGTATTTTGATTATCGGCCAAGGTGAATCAAAGTAAATGCAACCATCACATTTACGCGCAGGAAGCAGTTAAACAAGCAAAGCATATATCTATCGGTAGTCTAGGAGGACGCAGGTAAATTGTGGCCAAAGCTTATGTATACTGAATGCTAAGCACAAACGCGCCAGACCCTCATGTCTGTCAATGTCGCATATAGTGAGGAATACGTTTTCCCCCAGCAACGGGTAGCGTAGAGCCCTTGATCCGACCCACTGGAATGGTCTGGCCAAAAGTGGGGTAAATATGGAACGAGTGCAGCAGCAAAGTGCAAAATAAGTAGCCCAGAGGAACACATGCCATCGGTGGAACATCAACTGGTGCTGATAAAAGTAACAGAAAGACAGGGAATCGGAATAAACGTAAATTGAGTGATATGGTAGTTAGCCACCTGATTGAGTAGGAAGTTGTCGTCACTTCTGACCAACTGGTTTACGCAACCGTCGCCTCATGATCGTGGGTTCGAATTCCGCATGGCGCAAGGGAGATGCGAGTTGTAGACGAGACACGGTGGAGTAAAAGTCTTTCAGTGCCCTTCCAGAAATGTGGCGGATGAGTTTACTTATGAGGACTCTCGCTAAACAACTTAACTATCGGAAAACCACTCGCAATGCAATGACGCACATCGTTCGTAGATTCCAACATACGCAGTTCAGTCAATAGATTGACTCCGTACGTCAAGAACGCCAGGGGGAAGGGGACAACAAAGTCAGAAAATGAAAGCCAGCCCATTTAGCTGAGCGGGTGAGAAGGTAATATGAGCGCGCGCAATGCAGTGGCGGATAACATTCGAGGTAGCGTTCTACCATTCTGCGACACGAAAAGTAAATTAAAAAATGGACAAAAACATAATAACACCCCTTTGTGGATAATAATTTTATAGTATTTTAGTTTCTACCTATGAAATCGGTAAGGACGATCATAACTAAGAGAACATGGTTTAGTGCGTGGGAGCAAAGAAGTGATCCGTTGCGATATGTGGAAAATGGCAAAAACGAAAGTTGCTGAGGAGTGGACGGCTGCAAACGTGAAAGAGGTGTGTGTATACGTTTGCATATAAATCAACAAGCATATATGCTGCATTCCTACAGCCAAGAGTTAGAAAATACAACCAAAAACGAGGTTATCCTTTGTACACAAGGGTTTGGAAATTGTTTGTATAAACAAAAGCATACTGACCTCGGTAATTCAAACAAAAACAAGTGCAATGAACGGTTGTTCAGATTCGAAAGATCAGTTAAATGTGTTTGCACACCAGAGGTTTTATAAAAAGTCATTCCTAATCTCCATTCAGATCGTGGACCGATTGGAACACCAACAATATTAGATGCATCGGTGATACTCAGTACCGTGCTCAGTTCTAAAGAAGAGAGCAGCGAGGACGAAAGTAAATAGTATGCTGAGTGAAATATAATTGGATCGGTAAGACAATACATTTTGAATGTGGCGCTTGAGAATCGTTCATGCCTCAGCATATCAATAGGATTCACCTACCTGCTTTCGGATGACGGAATGTGAAAGTCTCTTGTGGGTCGGCTAGTAGCTGATAGTTCGTTAAACCAACAACGTACGGAGTTTCGTGTGGAGATGAGAATCCAGACTATTTGGAAAAAAAGCGGAGAACTTCCGGTAAAATGGTAATTCGTAACGCTACCGATTTTATAACGTAAGACACGTATTTCTAGTGGCAAAAGACAAATGTGTTGTATCCTGAACGTACGCTTAGTGGTAGGCGTGTTCAAAATACGGAAACTGATGCGCCTTGTAACACACTGAAGGACTGGAAAAGTGCTAAGCAACTGTCTTGTTCTGTTTTGGAATAGCCGCCGCAGCGAATTTCCCATGAACTCCATGGGACCATAACCTGTAGCAAGGTAACAGGTAATTTTGCGACGTGTGATGCCAAAGACAAGTGGCGTCTTACACGGTTAAACTATTGACCACGAGACAATGCGAAACGGTTTCCACTACTATATGCAATACCAGCGCTTAGTAGACAGGGTCTGACTACAGATGCACGATTAATATTGCATTTGAGCCCACACGGGCCATTACTGTGTTTAGGCGATGTGCGTATGTGGGGGAACTGAAGAATCTCAAATAGAATTGTCCCAATCGAATCGGTCTGGGTAATCCCGCATATCTCGAAGGACGGTTGGTATGGTGGCCGTCTGAATGTAGCTGTTGTAAGCGGTAAATATACCACGCAATTCGTAAGATGGAGAAGTTGATTTAACCCATAGCATCTAGTTGTTCACTCACTCTGTGGACCATGGCAACTGGCGTAACCACACCCTTCTCAATTCGTTGCATCGTTCCCCCAAATGTTTGCATCGGTCACGCTTGAAGCTGCATCGCTTGCGTCATGTGACACGTCGCACTCGTATGGCAAGGCGATCATGTGATCTCACGCAACGAACACAGTCCATGAGTATGGCTCATACGAGTGCACGCGTTCACTCGCGTCACATAACGCACGCGATGCAGCTTCAAGCGTGACCGATGCACACATGCGGGAACGATGCAACGAACTGAGAAAAGGTGTAGTATGTAATTCGCAAGACGCATGTCTGGAGCTCACTCAGAATGATCAAACCAGACACCTGCCCCATCTGATAAACGCCGGCTTACCGATTATCCCTCATATGATGTCATATCGATGTTGCCATGTATTCACTTCACCTCACACTGTGGAAACCGTTCACACAAATTATGCAGCCCGTGCAGACCCCTTAAACACCTCGGACTTGAATCATCCTCCAGCCCCAGGGGCACACACCTTCAGGTTCCTCCCAACCCCCTCTGTTTGACTGAACCAAGGGTTAGCGGACCTAATAAAATGAACTTTGCAATGCGATCGTGAACTCTGTATTGTGTGACTTTTGATGCACGGTAGCAAGTACAGTTTGTATTCCTTTTGGACATTGTAAAGACCAATTATTTCGAAACTGAACGGGTATTGTCTAGGGATGTACATAATGTATTTTGATTCCTATTTGCATAGTGCCGTAGTTAACGTCTCGGTTTCCTTTCTAGGTTGGACCCGGGAGTTTTTATGCGTCACTCAAGCTCCTAGCGAATTTGTTGCTTCTGCTGAAATTTCTCGAACATCCTTTACAAATTTCGCTAAAACAAGACTGAACCGTGGCCTATGAAGTCGAGTATGGTACACGCATGGAACCATCAAAGAAACAAAATATGCAATGTGAACAATATATCAGCGGTTCCTATGAGCATATTTGATCGGTCAAGCACCAAAGGTACACAGGAAACAATGTCACAATGAATTAAATCGTAAAAAAGGCCTAAAAAGAGAGTAGAAACGTGACTAAGCCTACAATGACTGAGAGGTTTCAAGGCATTGAGTTTCCACCTACATGATCTGAGTCTCTTGGTGACCATACCGTCGTCCTCAGATGAGATACAATCTCAGATGTGGGTATGAGCTAGACAAAGAACGCACATTCATGTGTAACCCGCCAGATATCAAGTGGTGGACAGGAACACAATGGTGAACAAGCAGCTAATGGCTGTGGCACATGGACCATAAATTTGATCCTTCGGTGGGGTGCATACATTATGGAAGACCGCGGCAGTTACCGGACATGCGGGATGGCCGCCACTAGGATGTGGGGGAGTTCAGTGACAAAGTGAGGAAGGATGAAGGTGGCGGAAGAACGTGTGGTCCCTCTGAACTAAGGCGGGCTAAACATTAACCAGGGAAAATACAATTGTATGATCAAGACCGGTAAGAGTTAACCACATTGAAATGGATAAACAGTGAAGGAATTCCCGTTGTCACTAGGATCATACTGTGCCCAGAAAAAAACCGAATTTTTGAAATAGCGCGCCAACCGACAGAGGGAGCGCGCTGCGGATACAGGGGGCACGCTAACCAACGGTTAGACCGAAACGCGGCAATTGGAACTCTAATGTCTAAACTAGGCTGTAAGTTGGCGCCAACTGAAGTTCGGTTCTTTTTTGAGTACGGCAGTATTTAAGTAGTCTTCAGGTAAACTGTTTGTTATATCAGAAAAGCACGGGATTAAGAGTGAGGCTATGAAAACAATCCAAGGGCGAATGCGATCTAAAAGAGCAGTTTCAGACGAGCGACAGATATACGACGCGAAACTAGCTGACCAATAGATGAGCAACTGCTTGAGGCACAACTTCATACCAGCGTACTTCGGATATTCACCAAGTCCCAGGTACACAATGAGGGATCTGAGGAGGTCGTTTTATCCGGCGCATAAGTAATCAGTTAAAGTAGTTTGGTGAACAGAGGGATTGCGATCGCCAATGCTGAGGTAGAAATTACTGCGCTTACCCATCACCAGATCGAGCAAGGTAAAAGCATTGAACGACACAGATACAGTGATAGGAAAGGAGAAAGAAAAACCCGTCTATAAAGTCATAGCAAACAGTAATACAGGGTTCAAAGTAGACCTCAGGAGAAGTCAGCCGGGTAATAAGCGGTAGTGTTCGTTGAGGGTAGTAGCACTTAGGGCGCGGACTGTGTCGGAACGTCATCACATAGATCAAGTGTGAGGCTATTGAAGGATCGATGGATTGCGCTTAAATCATCAAGTAGATAAATTACTAAGAGATCAATAGAGGCACCCATAGAATTGCGAGTCCCTTCAGATGTATGTTGAGATGAATGGGTTTCCTTAGACAGTTGTGCTCTACAAAACGTCACAGAAAAGTTGGAATAATCGGGACAAAGCATGCAAAATGTCCGTTGAATACAGCGATATGATATAAGGTAAATGAATGACTGACCTGGTCCCGAGATCGCTTAGTTTCGCCATAAAACTTCAAGGAATGAAGCGGCGCCAGGTAAGAAGTGTATGAGCAGGGAATGCTGATACCGTCATCTAAAGGGAAATAAACGAAGCGGATAAAACTGATTCGCTGAATTAGATACGCAAGAAACGGAACGGAATGACTGATGGACTTCAATATTACTGCCAGTGACAGTACACGACACACAGATCAATAGGAATGAAATAAAAAAGGAATAAGCAATACGACGGCACAACGTGCCGACGCTTTGCTGCCACGCGATCACCAACGGTCGCGCGTGTGCTGAGTATACCACGAGGTCGCTAGCACCTACGCGGACGAGTTATTTCACTTGATTTCATGGAACTAGCTCATCCAGTTGCATCTCTTACGGAAAAGGGCCGGGTGCGACTTGTACGGAGGAGCAGCCAATGTGTTCAGTAGTAGCCGGAAGCCATACGAGGCTGTAGCAGGAAATGTACATAACCAGTGAGTGCGAAAGTCAACTTCACCGGTTGACGACTGAAGGGCTCAACCCCGAAAGAATCCGATTCATAAATTAATTATCATATCATGCAAGATGTATTGCCATTGGCTCACTGGCATTTAAAAATTAGAAGTGTCATGTTAGAAAAGAGCTGAATGATGAAACGGGCCGATTGGATTTATCGTCTAAAATGCATGCATATGAACGTCCACAAAGGTGTTAAAGAGGTGGCGGCGTATATGTTATTACGCCACACCGGCACACGACCAGACGGGGCCTGGAAATGTAAGTGAAACCTTTCGAGAGAATACACTACATGGAAGTAAGTCCCCTAGAGACGGTTCCACGGATAGCCAAATTTATTTAGTTGAAAATCTGGGTAAATATCCATTTGTTATTGTGCCCAATTTCACTAGCTATCTTTGTGATATACCTAAGTCCAAATAATCTAAAGTCGTTTGTAAACCGCGTTGAAAACGAACAGTCATGTGCTTTATGCACATCTCACCGCATATATTTGTCCAGATCACTTAGTTGGGCTTTGCCTCACGCTGAGGGGAATTATATGGTACATTTATTTAATTGCGGCCCACAACTGTTTACGCAAAGCAAGACGGATTCTACTGTACATGCATTACTCAAACATGATGGCGAGCTCCTTCAGAAAAAGAGAACTCATCTGTGGAAGGAGACTGCAAGCAAAGTGGCGATGCGACCGAGGTGGTAATAATCAAGAAAGGAGATCGAAACGTTTGTGTCAAGTACACGGGCATTAACTTGATGGTGGTATAAATCACTAGGCGATATTCTTGTATTTCATGTTAATGCTGAGAGCAGCTGTTTCCAACTTGGACAAGGTTGCATAGACCTCATCCTTGCGCTGCGGAAAGGGCTGAAGCTGCGTTACATGTTTGTCAATTAGGTGTAAATGTTTTCTTACACCTGCAAATGAATTACAAGCGAGGTCTAGGGACAATCAGTCACTTTCTAGCTCCTGATCTGTAATGACGAGGAACAGGTGATAATTGGTCAATTTATCGGCGATAGTAGCTGTATTAGCAGCAACGAGAGCGTGAGTAGCGAGGTTAGTTCAATAAATAAATAACTAAAGTGGAATTTCAAACCCGCCTTTGAAAGTGGGTCTGTCTGCCCTCATGAACGTGGGACATATTTGGTGCCGGAAGATCACACTACAGAACCACAGCTATGCCTGTTCTTTACCATGGTGATGAAGAGTACCGTTTTCAATTTGAAGAGCTTGAAGATTTACAGGTCCTTGATGATCGCAGCCAATGGAGAATTGCCGGAATTTGTCAGCATCAACGCATCGTTGAAATGTACAGACCAATGAATGGCGGCAGTCATAAGGTTGGTTCATTAGGTCAACGGAAAAATTGGTTATATTGTGCTGATTCGGGTACCTGCTACCCATGCCTGCTCACCACATTGGCCGGAAAGAAACCTCTTTTTCAATGGATCTAAGATTACACAATATTTGAAGGAGATAGCTGTTGACCTAGGGGCGTGAAGTGAAACCGCTCACGACTAAGATGAGTGCCGTTCGTCCAACACACAAGCCAAGAATGGTGCTTCCAAAAGGCACAACAGAGGCCCCCCTCAGTGCAGCTTGACCTCCGGGTGAATCGAGCGACCACTTAGAGGGTCTGATTTGTGGTACCTGCGCAGCTTCGAAAAATCACCTCAAACTAAGAAAGTGTAAAGCACATGGCGAGCCGCGCAGCGTTTTACATCAGCTCAGCCGAAAGTACACTCAGGTCAGTTAAAAACAGTACAGAAAGGTTTTGAGGTATCTTGCACTATTTTTAGGCATAAATATCAACAATTAAACATGCAGTGATTATCAAATAGGTTCAAAACACAATCGGCACATCGTCAGATTAACTAGTTGATGAAGGATAACGCGAACAACACAATGCAACGTTGAGATGGACATTACTTGTTGAGTGAGCACTGTCATTGCCAGTTCGTACCTTTGAGGTGGGGCTGGGCACCGTCCAAACATTCTGGGCTCAGTTCATTGTCGCCGAAAGAACCAAGTAACTCGCTGACAAAGATATCGGCTTTTTCCGGGACCTTAATGTTCCGCATGTCTCCGCGAATCAGGTGAACATCTAGACCAGCCCATTCTTGGGTCATTCGATCCTGAAGAATGAACAAGTGCAGCAGAAATGATGAGTGACTAGTAGCAGTGCCAGGACAATAGAGCACCCGGTGAAACATGGTCCAACCAAACGAGGGCTTCAGGGAGATGATAAAAGAGAAATCCAAGTTCACGGTGGTTACTTTGTTACTAACAATATATGAGTAGTTCAGTTTAACTTACAATTTCCGGATCGGCCGAAACAGTTCAACGTCATATTAACCCTTTAACGGGGCGAAACAACATTTTTTGAATATTTTTGTCGACTTGGTTATTTGCACCTAGCGATTTGAGCGCATTAAAGTGTTCTTTGTCCCGCTACGTGACATTTAGTGAAGTCCCACATTTCCATGCCAGTTAGACTGCATTGGTGGAATCACTGCCGACCGCGTAGGGGTGGGCGTTCTCGCAGTATACCCAGCCCGCGTGCGACTGGTGGTGGTCGCACGGTAGAAAAGCGCGGTTACAAACCGGTATAGGAGAAATTGAAAAAGGTGACAGCGTGGTAATTGAGGAAAGGGAAAGCGATTTCTCGTTAGTAACCCAAACGGATACCACGAAATAATAAGGGACAGTTAGAAAGACTAGATCAGAAGTACAGGTAAACTAAAAAGGAGTAGAAAATCAGTACGAATATAGGCAAATGGGAGAGCACAATTTAACAAGCCCACTGCAGGGCAATCATGCCCATGTGAAGGTCGCTATACCAGGAAAGTGAAGAGTAGGCGACATACAAGCGTGACCTCACGAAAGAGCTTAGTGACAAAGACAGGACAGAATCCTTAGTAGAAGTGCTTACCGTATGATATGAGCAGAATGGATGGAACAAGTAAAATAACAATATGGATACTGGGTGTTACCAAACAGAGGAATATTTATTGCAAGTGCTACTAAACATCACAGTACATCAAATATTTACGTTCTCAAGTCTGAAAGAAGACAAACGTGCTAGCAATGGAAGCAAAAAATTTTGTTCATCAAAGAAGAGAAACAATACCAAAAGAGGGATGGTTTCTTCATATACGCCGTATTGTTCGTTTGTTAAAGTGAACGTTAGATGAAAAAGAAATGGTGAAGCAGTATTGACGTCCCTGGTATTGACGTCCTGCAAAAACTCCAAACCAATGAGAGCCCACATCACGTGGTCCCAACCTGAGAACTGGACAGATCCAACTGAAGAGAAACATGATGTAACATTCTACACGTTCCACTTCCATGTAATCGTTGTCCGCTGTGAAACTACCCATTCGCATCTACAAAGTATAGATAGTGCGCTACGAGGAAGACAATGGGCTGACACGTGCAGTACGGGACCGAGACAACGCAAACAGTGTTGGAGAATAATGCGCTGGGGGTACAAAGGCATCAGCAGTACACCGGTGCGCATTACCGACGCTTCGCTGCCGCACAACGACCACCAGACGCATGTGGGCTACGGGTACTGCGATGCTCGCCCTTCCCCTTTGCAGGCTCGAAACCGAGCCGACATATTACAAAACAAGCTCATTAGCTTTAGGCTACGGTCCGGTCTTGAGGCAAGTATCGTTCGCCCCGAGTACTCAGTTTGTAACTTCCGTATTGCTTACATGCTGTTGCCACTACACGAGAGTAATCGTTTATACGTATTGAAATCTGACAGCGGATTCGAATAGATAAGGATAGTGGGTAAAACAAAATCAAATCAGTAAGCTTTCCTGTGTTAGTCAAAAGCAGCATACATCAGGTTAATCGGGACTATACTAGGAGTGTGAATGAATACCGTCAATCGTATAACACTAGACCATTCCACATAAAATAATAAAAGGCAATGAGTAGTATTTGGCAAATGAGTGCTATCACCAGTTGTTAATATGGGCCCAAGCACCAACGGCTGCAGAAGGAGCCATTACAACTCACTATAGAAAAATGGGTGCAAAATGTCCGTAACATAAGTGCTAATGTTAGGAAGATTCAACCGATAAGCAACATTTGCGGTAAAGTGCCGGGTCACATGACAAGCAAGGCGGATGGTATCACAAGCGTGAAACACATTTTCAAACAAATCTCTTAAGATTATCAAAAAATCAGGCTGCTGTAAAGTAGTCACTCACAAATGAACTACGGCACCGACAGCCGAACCGGTCACTCATGATTATTCCTGTGGATTCTACACCACCATACTCAACAAAGTCTAAAAAATTTTCCTTTCCTGTACCAGATGGAGTATTCTCTCTTGACGCTCAGTGCTACTATCCCCACCTAGTTCCCCCTTTCCGAACTAATAAAACGCTTTTCGCGCTTTAGGCCGCTGCACTCTCCAACGAGTATCACTTTACATTCGTTTCATTTGCATGCATTTTACTTCCCAAAGTCACATTTTCATCAGCATCCTATTCACATTACTGTTACGGTTATCTGTTTCCGGCCGCAGCCCACACGTTGCAAACGTAGTCGCGCGTTCTGTCTTGTACATTACTTCACCCCTTAGAACAACGGTTACAGGACTAGATCACAAAATCTCCTAAAACTGTTTTCGTTTCAGACCACTAATAAATTGGAGACCCATTTCATTGTGCTCCTTGATAAATAAGAATAGTCAATAAGTAGCGGGAAAAAACGCACAACTGACCGTAAACCCTAACGCGCGACTTGAGGCACTCAGGACCATGGAAAGTTATATGTTCACAAGAACACCATTAGTGTGAATACGTTGAACAGAAAAAAGTGATCGACTGAGTCAAATGCGGTGATGTACCAGAGGAATGTAGAGACAAAGTCGACTTGCGGTGCGTGTGACTGCGCTATCACTTGCCGCAGAGTAGTGTGCTCAAAGTTGCTCCGTCCCCCTTATTTGGTATGCACTTCGCACCTTCAAAGTGCAAAGTGTTGCTGCAGGACCACCAGCCACTTTATGACCCATTGACCCTTACTAACGAGGAACTCGAGGTGGTTGATCATTTCACTTATCTTGGCAGCTGCATCAGAAACGATGGGCGCATAGGAACTGACGTCAGCTCACGCATTGTAAAGGCCAGAGCTACCTTCTTGAAACTGCGGCAGCTTTGCCGACAGAAGGGAGTTTCCCTCCGTCTGAAAGGCTGTGCATACAAGGCCGCAGTGAGGGCCGTTCTGCCCTATGGTAGTGAGACTTGGCCCTTTCGGTCTGAAGATCTGAGGCGTCTTCAAGTCTTTGATCATCGTTGTCTGCGAAGCACTGCTGGAGTCGGATGGCACCAGCGTGTCCGTAACGATGATGTGCGTAGGCTAGAACTAGGTAGTGATAATTATGCTGGCTCCCTAGAACAACAGATAGCACTGAATAAGTTGCGTTGGCTCGGGCACGTGCTACGTATGCCTGGTCACCACTTACCTAGGAGGGCCTTGTTTAGTCTACCATGTGTAGGGTGGCGCAAAGCCCGAGGTGGACAGAAGTTGACTTGGCAGCGGGAAATGAAGTTACTGACGACCAAACTGGGTGCTGTTGGTCCGTCTCGCCTTCCGGGCTGGAGTCCACGTGACTCGCCTTGTGCTTGGCTCGAGACTTTACAGGACATGACTCGCAACCAACACCAGTGGCGCGTCTGCTGCCGTCTCCTAGTCGGACTGCCTGTTTAAAGTGTGTTTGGTGCTGAGTTATCTGTGGGGTAATGGCTGATTATGACGCGGGGCAGTGAAAGCCGCAAGGAAAGTGCCTCGCCGATACCGCCTTATTTTTGCACGATAGCCAGCTGTTTGCGACGGTATGTTGTCTACACAAGGTGTAGGCGCCTTGACCCTGAATGTTTGCTTAGGGCATTAAGGTTTTCAGGTAAGTCCCCCCTCTCTTCCTCTTATTATTCTTTATTTCATAGGCCATCGCGGTTGTATGGCAGCGAAGCATCAGTTCAAACGAATGATGTACTGCTGTTGTTGTCGTCGTTCAAACGTTAAAACTGCCTCAGCCCACCCGAACTGCGACATCAGGCTCAAGAAATGGAGTGTACGCCGCACTTGTGACCTAACGGATAGTGATTGTGCTTGATCAATGACAGTAAACCGAATTTGTCTTACTAACCTTTAGACTGTGTCAAACAATTTGTGTTTTTCCACATATAATTGCACAAGCCTGAAAAGATATATTCGCTTGCATCGACTTGTAATCATACAATGGAAATTTTTACTAATGTGAAATGAAAGTTAGTTTGTTAGTTAACAGGACACGCATTTACCCATTATCACCATAATTGTACATTAGCTGAAGGTAAAAAACCCACTTCAACTATTGTGCGCAAATAAAAAGATATATGAAAAAATACAGGATAGAGAATGATATAGAACAAAAAACCAACTGCTTAGTAATATATTACGCTTCAAGACAGAGGTCATGCTTGAAGGGTGAAGATAAGGGGGATGGAGAAAATAAACAACAAACGCCAATGAGGTCCGGGTCCACGCCATGTCAACTAGTGTATCCAATGAGGCGTGTTCATTGTCCTTCGGTCCCCAGCCCGGCAGTCGGGAACCACCATCCGACGCTAACTTCGAAGTGAGAGACTTCATTCCTGTTGACAAAGTTATCGCTTAGCCTCCCCTCCTCTTCTTCCATCCACATCCCGGTTCTGCAAACAATGGGCGATGCGGGAGTCGGTGTGCTGCCATGCGCAACACATGGCCCAGCGGTCGGTTCACTCGCTATTCCTGTACCAAATAAACCATGCCGAACACGCTCATTGCCCTCGCGGTGATCCCACCAGACCTGAGCTAAGCTGCGAAGACAGTGATGATCGAACGTTAATAGCTTCTTTACGTCTGTCGATTTTAGGGCCAGGCTTTGTGATCGTACGGACGGCTGCATTGTACACTCTACTCTTCAGGGAGAGAGTGGTGTCGCACCGGCGCCACAGGTGATGTAGACTGACAAAAGCGCATGGAACTTTAGTTGCACGGTTCGTGACCTCATCCACTGGCGCTGATAAGGCTGCCCAGGTACTTAAATTTATAGACGATTTCTAGCTGACTGCCACTAAGGGTCCGCGCATGAGTT